CAAATTCAAAAACATCAGTTCCACTTGTGAAAAATCAACTTTAAGTTGAAACATCCTATGGAAACAAAAGCAAAACTCATAGTCCCAGGCAGTCAGAGACTTCTCCAGAAAAGCAGCGAATTTAATCTGTTGGCTAAAAAGAAAACCCAGGGCTAGCGCTGCCTAAAGGTCTGTCAGGGATTGCCCCTCTGCTGTGCTGCGGGTGCCCACACTCACCTTTGCTGTATCCCAGATTCTTGTCTTTAAGCATGTGGTAGCCATCTCCACCAAACAGCAAATAGGAGGGCAGAGTCACGTTGTAAATCTGATCCATTTGCAGGGGGACGTAGGCTGGGACTCTGCAGGTCGTACAGAGCACGTCTATGCTAACAACTCTGCTCCCTGGGGCTTTGGAGAGGTCGTAGACCACGTGGATGCCTGCGAAAACACACGTTTCGGTGCCACTTTATAGCAGAGCCTCGTGAATGCTTAGGGCTAGAAGCAACCTCTATGCTGACTGTGGCTTTACATTAGTTTCTGTGACTGCAAAGTTTTATTTTTCTGAGTGATCACACTTAATGCCGGATCCTTCCCCAACTTTTATCCAAAAAACCCATGAATCAGTATGAATTGCTGGAGTACTCAGTTGTTTATCTCATCAGCTAGTCCCTTGCTACTGCTCCGCAGGAAGAGACCTCTGGTCATTGCTTGAACCAGGACATGGCAGATGACAACAGAAACAATCTTCCTTATTTCTGTCCTCTCGCCTTGTGCTTTTTCTGTTATTTTGTAAGTTGAAATGATCTCTTTTAATAAAGCCAGTCACCCTCACCTAGCAGCTACTACGGACAACAACTAGTGTTCTTAAAAATGAATAAATAAATAGAAGAGCAAAGCTAAGCCCAGGCTGAATACCGTGGGTTCTGCCACCACAGCAGCGTTCACGTTTGCACGCTTCCCCTCGTGACCCCTGCTCCCTCAAAACCCAGGGAGCTCCAGGACCTGAGGTCAGCGAGCCCTGGAGCTATTCCAGAAGCAGCACTAAGGCCCTTCTGACCCCAATCCCTGCCTCTAAATCTTCTCTCCTGATCCCTCTCCAGGGCATCTACTTTCTTCTCATCCCCTCTTTTCTGTTAACTGTGCTTATTTTATCGCGGTGATACCTCAGAACATGGTAACTGGCTACTGAGGGCACTCGCCAAGTGGGTCAGACTTGGGTTCTGTCCTTGGCTCGTGGCGGGTTCCCCATCTCCAGGGACAGTGACCTTGTCACCAGGGGACACACACGGAGCGGGGAAAGGCCTTGGCCTCAGTCATGGAAGGTTTTTCATGCTGCTGCTCTTAACGTGACTTTCCGCGTGTACATACCAGCAAGGCCAAGCGCTGCCTTGGAAGGGCTGTTGGCTGTGGATGGTTGTGCTGGGAAAGCGAAGAGGAAGGAAGGGAACCTACCCCCGACCTGCAGCAGCTCTCCGGTTCCCCTCCCGTGCCTGCGCACACCGTGCTCAAAAGCTTCTTTCAGAGTGGAGCCTTTTAACCTCACCAGATCAAAACGGCCTCCGAAGGGCAAGACGGACAGCAGGTCTTCCATCGTGATGCTACCTGGGGGAGTGAGATTTGTTTTTTTATAAATTATTTATATGTGTGTGTGTGTGTGTGTGTGTGTGTGTGTGTGTGTATATATATTATTTTAAGATCATTTCACAGTGGGTTATTTGACAAGGAACATGGCAAATGCAGTGCGAGAAAATGAGAGCTGGTAAAGATTAGGGTCACTTATACTGTCTCAATCAAAGCACTTGTGTTTTATCATCCAACCTCACATGCTCAGTGAATTTGAGTTTCATGTAACTGTTTGTATTGGTATTCAAATAACTCAACTAAAAAAAATTAGCAACCACTAATCCACAACCAAGAAAAACACATTCTTGGTAAATCAGATAACTTTTCCAGTGGCTTAAATTTTACTTATGGAACCCCCAGAAAAGGCTTAGCTGAAGTGAAACAAAGTGGTTGCTTTCAGACCTTGTTTATCTGATTACAAACCATAGCATTCAGAAAACCCAGAATTCACTTACGTTATGATAGACCTCAGAAGGCTTCTAACCACCTTAGCAACATACCTTAGAGTAAGAGGTAAGAATATGCGCTATACTTCTTAAACCCGAGGGAGCATAGAAGGAGGAAGATCATCCCAAACCTACCATGTTTTTGTAGGTACAGCGTGTACAAAGAATCCGAGCAGTGCTGCGCACCTCGGTGTGTGCAGCTGTACACTAACGATGGGGGAACAACTGAGAGAGTCGGGAACAGCTCCCAGCTGCTGCGTAAATCCCACCAAAACCGAGTTGAGGCTTCCCAGATAACTGCATTTTGCCCCTGATTGATAAAGCTGTGACTGAGCTGGCAGTTTTACAAACCATTAGTGCTCTGTTCATCGATGGCTGAGCGTATCCCGCCCGCGTTCAGGATGCACATGGAAACGTGGTTCCACTCCTTCCCAGCGGGACGTTTCACATTCTCATAAAGCTACCAAAACAAAAAACAACAACAAAAAACGGATTTTAATCCTCACTTGGTCTAGGCTCTGGAAATTTACCCTATCTGAGACTTCCCAGGATGGAAGGGTTTAACATAGTCTTTGATGTTAACTGCAACACTGTTGTGAAAAAGTGAGTTGTAAAAAATAAGCCAAAACATATTAAAAAGTATTTCACTTCTTTTTTGAAAAACTTGACAAGAAAAGTATTTGCCTTTTTTTTTTTGTGATGAACTCTAGAAGCCTCCCGTACCCTGCACATGTGACATTACTAGGCAGGAAAGATGACCTTTTAATTAAAACCACTGTGATGAGCACCAATGATCTGAGCATATGTGAGGAATCAGGAGGTGCAGAGGACCTTATAGACTGGCATACATTACAGCCTTCGGTGAGTGCACAAACCAACTGAGCTCCCGCTCTGCACTGCAGGGAATTAAGATTTTCAGCTTCTTTGAGACTCGTCTTCAAACTTTGGAATGCTCTGAGGAAACAACAAAGATGTAGAAGAGCAAAGGAACATTAAAACAGCCACAAAAGATCAGACCTGAAAGTCTAATTTGCCTAAGGAGTAGTGACAAAATGGAAACCATCATTATGCAGCTAAGTAAATCCCTGTGTTTTCATTCTCAAAAATACTTCAGTAGAACAGGAAAAGGTTCAGAGAAAGCAGATCTGGATAATGGAAGGGATGGCCCAGCTTCCATACAGGGATGACTGCAATTAAAACACTTCAGTCTCACAAAGAGACAACGACAGGAAGGATGTGACAGAAATCTGTAAAATCAGGAAGGGGATGTGGAGGCTGGATTAGACCCAGGGCATTCCCTCATCTCAAGAATGATATGAAGCCGGAAGGTTCAGAGCAGGGTGACCAGGGTGGTCTAAGATACAATGGAAGGAGAATGTTTGAGACCTACAAAAGCAATGAGTGGTGTGAGGAAGGTGGGTAGGGACCAAGGGTTGAGGTGCAGGAACTGCTCCTCAGCAGTGAGAACGGGAGGAAGGCTGCAAGGAGAAGAGCAAGGTCTGGGCATGACGTGCTGCTCAGTGGTGGGACACCTGGCCACAGGGCACTGGAGAGCCAAAAGGGCAAGAGGGAGACAGGGGCAGTTTGTGACTTCCCAGCGGAGACCTGGAATTATCAAGATGCTGTTTCCAGCTTGGGAAGCCTCCGAGCTGGAGCTGAGGGGAGATGGGAACATGTGCAGCACCCCTGCCCACGTGTGTGCTCCTTCCTCAACATCCCCCACGGCCACTCCTGGAGACAAGACACTGGGATGGAGCGTCCTTTGGTCTGTGGATCACTGACCTCTCGGTGCCTAAATCCTGTAGTTCCAGCTTCAAAGCTACTCCTTGAGGACAGATCCATTTGTTCATAACTCATAATTAATCAATGAATTATTAGTTTTTGTTTGCTTGTTTGCAGTCTTAGCTGAAACCTCCAGACTTCCCAGGACAACTCTGAACACTGAAGTCCATGGCACCCTAACACTCCTGAAAGTAGAGGCACCCAGAAGAGCAGACATAGAACCTGTACCTACAGACATTTACTTCACTTCAGTAGAATTTGACCTCCCAAGGGAAAAAAAAAAAAAAAGAAAAATCCACTAACTTCTGAAATATAAAAAACAAATTTCTTTAAGCTTAAAAGTGTTGCAGTATTTGAGCATGTTTTTCAATAAATGTATAACCAAGTCTAGAACAAAGGAAAAAAACAAGATACTGAATTTCAGTAGATCTGTATGGATCTTAATCTAACTTGGAAATTATCCCTGAACTAAAGATTATCTTAAGAGCTACGGTAAAAGTAATTACGGCAAAAACATTTTTCAGCAAATTTCTGAACAATAACTCATGACTACTAATTGGAACCTGGTTTTGTGGCAATGCTGCTGGCTATTTCTAGTAATTGCCTTTTCTGAAAACAGTTGCATTAGTGAACTATTTGTTCCTCGGACTTTCCCAAAAGAAATAGTGCCATCAAGGAAGAGCAAAACAATCAAAACCGCCTTTTTAACTGTAAAACTACTTTAACCGCAGTTTGCGGTCAGAAAAGCACAAGCTCCCTCTTGCAGAGGGTGCTCCGGACATCACGCAGCTCTGGTGGCATCGGGGCCATCTGCGCTGACCTGTCCCACTAGGCTGAGAGGGAGCAGGGCACGGGGGGCAGTCCTGGTCCCGGCACGGAGCATTTCCATGGGGCAGGGACAGGTCTGGGATGGGAGAGGGGGTTCACGGAGCATTTCCATGGAGCAGGGACAGGTCTGGGATGGGAGAGGGGGTTCACGGAGCATTTCCATGGGGCAGGGACA